AGGATGAGCCTACCAAACGTATCGGAAGGCATGGCGGTCGCAGCTTTCCAAAACGGGCTGAGCAGAGATGGTTCGAGAGCAACCAAAAAGCTACTAAGCCGACTCATGAAGTATCCTCCCACCACATGGGAGGAGATCCACAACGCCTACTGTGCCGAGGTACGAGCAGACGAGGATGACCTCAACGGACCAACCCAGCGGCTCACGACAATACAGTCAGAAGCAAGGAGGGATCGACGCAGCGAGGGCCGGCGGGAACAATCCTCGCGCTTCAACAAAGAAAGGCAACAGCCTTAGGTCAGATCCTCGCATCCACCACCGCCTAGACACACAGAAGCACTGCAGCGACATGTCGCCCCACTCCGTAATGAAAGAGGTATGCCCCCTTTATTATCCGCCCATAACTTTTGCGTGTCTCCCTCAGAAATAGTGTACGCACTGGAGAAGCTGGGCACCAAGGTACAATGGCCGCAGAAGATGAAATCAGAACCCGCCGTGAGGAAGTCAAATGTCCCGTGCGAGTTCCACCAAGAACGAGGGCACAAAACCGAAGATTTCATAGGACTATGGCAGGAGGTGGTCAGAATGCTGAACCAAGGATACTTGAGGGAGCTGCTCAGCGATAAGGGAAAGATCAACTTCGCACGAGGGCGGGATCAACCTCAAGGGCCGCCAAAGCCGCCTTCGCCTGCACGCACCATCAACATGATCGTCGGAGGAGGCGACGATTCAGCAATCAACCATGTAAAGTTCACCACTTCGCACAAGCTGAAGCGAACAATCGCCCACGAACGGTATGATGACTTCGAAGAGAGTATCACTTTCGATAAGTCAGATGCCGACGGTTTGTCTTTTCCTCATTATGGTGCTTTGGTCATAACATTACGCATTGCTGACACTGATGTTAAGAGAATCATGGTTGATGACGGAAGCGGCGCCTGTATTATCCATCCAAGGGTCCTCGCGCAAATGAGGGTCGAAGATAGGATAATACCGCGTTGCATAACACTGACAGGTTTTAACAATGCAGTGGAAAGAACCTCCGGGGAGGTATCATTGCCGATTTTAGCAGGAGGAGTTACGCTGGAAACCACTTTCCACGTCATGAACCAAGAAACAGCCTACAACGCCATCATAGGACGCACGTGGATACACACCATGCGAGCAGTCCCCTCAAGCTTCTACCAAGTGATCAAGTTCCCCACCCCTTGGGGAAAATTTAGCATTCGGGGCGAGCCGCGCACCGCGCAAGAATGCTACCGAATCGCTCAAGACTACTCATACACCAAGCAGTTGAAAGGAGCAAGTGCGGAAGCATAGCAATCAGCCGTGTCGGGGACTAAGGTCGACCCGACAACGGAAGCCATCAAAGATCCGTACATTGTAGAAGCCTGCAAAGCAACGGTCGAGGATCTCAACCCAGTACAACTGGAAAGCACCGACCACTCAAAAAAAGCCTACATCGGACACAGCCTCTGCGACCCAAGTAAGTACCATGAATTTTTAACTAACCACGCAGATCTATTTGCTTTTTCTCATTCAAATATGCCGGGGATACCGAGAGACNTTTCTGCGTAAGGCTGTAGATGAGCTTTTCATCTTTTCTGCTTCTACCCGGGTTCTCAACTGCTATCTCATCTTCCGGACTTGGGCTCGGAGAGCTTCATTTTCTTGGGCCAACCTTCTATTTCACCTTCAGCCTCTTGCACCTGTATATCATTATTGAATACGACGTTTCTCAATTCTTCTTGCAAAGTGTGAATGGTGGCTTGATATTTTTTCTCCTTCTCTCCCCAGGCCAACTTTCCCGGACTTTATAATCAAACCCTAACATGGGGTCTTTTGGCGGGCCTTTCAGGCTTGGGCTCGGGCTCTGGCTCATTATTCGCACAAAACATTCTCTCAAACCACGCAGCATAATTTGGATCCACTTCTCCTCTCGCAAGATCTGGTACCTGGGTGTCACTTTTCAGATATCGACAACCATTCCAATCCCGTTGGACTAAAGCCTCAGGTAGTGTTGCTTCTTGGTGTAGCTCAATGACTTGGGTACTCAAATCTGCATCTTCGGGTACAACTTGATATCTTCCAAGTGGAGGATGTGCGTAGATTTCACAGACCTTAACAAGGCATGCCCGAAGGACTCGTTCCCGTTACCTCACATCGACCAGTTGATCGAGGCCACAATAGGACATGAGATGCTAAGCTTCCTAGATGCCTACTCCGGTTACAACCAGATCATGATGGCCGAGGAGGACCAAGAAAAGACAACTTTCATCACCCACCAGGGAACGTATTGCTACAAGGTGATGCCCTTCGGACTCAAAAACGCAGGGGCGACGTATCAGAGGCTAGTTACCAGAATGTTCAAGGAACAGCTTGGCAAGACCATGGAGGTCTACATCGACGATATGCTGGTAAAGTCGGCAAAAAAAGAAGACCACCTCAACCATCTGAAAGAAGCCTTTGAGATACTACGACAGTACAGGATGAGATTAAACCCAGAAAAATGCGCCTTCGGCGTAGCATCAGGGAAGTTCTTGGGTTTCCTCGTATCACAACGAGGTATCGAAGTCAATCCTGACCAGATCAAGGCGATAGACGCAATACCTGAGACCTTGCACAGCAAAAAACAGGTACAAAAGCTGACAGGGCGAATAGCCGCCCTATCCAGCTTCATCTCGCGATCCTCCGACAGGTGCCATAAATTTTTTAACGTATTGAGAAAAGATCATGGACTACAATGGAACGAGGAATGCGCCGAGGCTTTAAAAAAATTGAAAGAATACCTGTCTTCGCCACCATTGCTAGTTAAAGCAAACCCTGGCGAACCCTTGCTAGTATACCTGGCAGTGTCCGAAGTCGCCGTCAGCGCAGTCCTGGCCTGTGAAAACAAAGGTACGCAGTCTCCTATTTACTATATCAGCAAAACCCTAGTGGACGCCGAAATACAGTATCCACACCCCTAGTGGACGCCGAAATACAGTATCCACACCTCGACAAGCTGGCTCTGGCACTGGTCGTAGCTTCACGAAAGCTTAGACCCTACTTTCAGTGTCATCCTATAAATGTTATAACGACCTTCCCCCTGAGAAACATCCTACACAAGCCCGAGTTATCGGGCAGGCTCGCCAGATGGGCCATAGAGCTCAGCGAGCACGACATATCCTATCACCCGAGAAACGCCATCAAGTCGCAGGTACTTGCAGATTTTGTCGCCGATTTCAGTACAGAGATTCTGCCGGAAGCGGAACTAGAGGCCATTCGTGCCACTCCTAGTACCGACCTCTGGACCCTCTACACTGACGGCGCTTCCAACGCCTCGGGATCGGGACTGGGACTCGTACTCGAGGTCCCCACGGGCGAAATAATTCGTCAGTCCATACGATTCCCCGAGACGACTAATAACGAGGCCGAGTACGAGGCTGTGATTGCAGGTATGAAGTTGGCCATCAAGTACAGAACCCGACGACTCATCCTCCATTGCAATTCTCAACTCGTGGTAAACCAGGTCACCGGGACTTACCAAATCAAGGAACAGAGACTGCAGAAATATCAATCAGAAATTCACAAGTTGATGCCCGAGTTCGACGAATGCCGCCTGGAACAAATCCCGAGGGCGCAGAACGTCGAAGCAGACGGCCTAGCCAAATTGGCCGCAGCCACCAAAAACATCAACAAGGGAAACATAGTCACCCTCCTTCATTCAGCCATAGATCACACTGAGGTACTCTCTTTAAATCTAACTTGGGACTGGGCAACCAGTTTATCTCCTATCTGCAGGACAGGACACTCCCGCTCGACAAAAAAGCAGCCAAAAAGCTCCGCGTACAAGACGCCCGATACTGCCTAATAGGTCACGATCTGTACAAAAGAACGTTTGGCGGACCCCTCGCTAAGTGCTTGGGGCCACACCAAACAAGGAAAGTACTCGAAGAGGTACACGAGGGCAACTGTGGCGCACATACCGGCAATCGCGCTCTCGTCCGTTGCATCATCCGAGTCGGGTACTACTAGCCCACAATAAAAAAGGAGGCAGCGGAGTACGTTCGTAGGTGCGAGCAGTGCCAAAAGTACGCCCCCATGATACATCAACCGGGAGAGCCCCTACACTCAGTAACATCACCTTGGCCCTTCATCAAATGGGGGATGGACATAATCGGTCCCCTACCAGCAGGACGAGGAAAGGTACGATTTCTGTTAGTTTTGACTGACTATTTCTCCAAGTGGGTAGAAGCAGGTGCGTACGCCCAAATACGCGAACAAGAAGTCATCGCCTTCATATGGAAAAACATCATATGCCGCTTCGGCATCCCCAAAGAAATCAGCTGCGATAACGGCCCCCAATTCATCGGCAAAAAGATAACGGAGTTCTTTGACAAATGGCACATCAAACGGATACTCTCCACGCCATATCACCCCGCCGCCAACGGCCAAGCAGAATCCTCCAACAAAACAATATTGAACATACTGAAGAAGAAACTCGAATAAGCCAAAGGGCTCTGGCCAAAATTACTACCAAAGGTACTGTGGGCATACCGGACAACGCCCAAATCCAGCATAGGAGAAACACCGTACTCACTGGTCTACGAAACCGACGCGGTTATACCAGTCGAAATCGGAGAACCAAGCCTGAGATATTCACATGCCAGCGGAGCAGACAACGACATAGGTAGGCTTCAAGACCTCGATGAGGCAGAAGAATGAAGGGATATGGCCCACATAAGAATGACAGCTCAAAAGCAACAGGTCGAAAGGTATTACAACAGAAAAGCTAAAATACGACCGCTCAAAGTAGGCGACTACGTCCTCAAAGCCAAAACTTTGGCGTCAAAAGACCCAAGCGAAGGGAAACTGGGCACCAATTGGAGCGGGCCATATAAAATCACAGCAGATGCAGGCAAAGGGGCATTCCAGTTGGAAACAATGGAGGGAAAAATACTCCAAAACAACTGGAACGTCGCGCACCTCAAGTACTTCCATTTTTAGGGGGCGTCTCCCGAGTCGTACTCTTTTTCCCTTACCTGAGTTTTGTCCCAATTGGGTTTTCTCGGGGAGGTTTTTAACGAGGCGGCGAAGGGGACACCCAGGGGCGTATGGAGAAAGGTTTATCATACCGGCCAGTCGACGCGTTCTCCAGGCCGATATAATAAAGGGACTAGCCTAGTTGAGTCTCCATTATGTAAGTGGCTAAGGCCACCAACTCCATTATGTAAGCGGCTAAGGCCACCAACTCCATCCTATGGGCCAAAGGCCATCGCCAATGATCGTCGACCCCCTCGACGACGACGGAGTAACAACTTCAACAACA